TGCAAGGGGATTGTTGCTGTTGTTGATGATGATGATGTTGCTGTTGCTAGTGGCGTGGTGTTGCTGTTGTTGCAAGGGGATTGTTGCTGTTGTTGTTGATGATGATGCTGCTGTTGCTGGTGGCGTGGTGTTGCTGTTGTTGCAAGGGGATTGTTGCTGTTGTTGATGATGTTGGTGTTGCTGTTGCTAGTGGCGTGGTGTTGCTGTTGTTGCAAGAGGATTGTTGCTGTTGTTGATGATGATGGTGTTGCTGTTGTTGCAAGGGGATTGTTGTGTTGTTGTTGATGATGATGTTGCTGTTGCTAGTGGCGTGGTGTTACTGTTGTTGCAAGGGGATTGTTGCTGTTGTTGATGATGATGATGTTGCTGTTGCTAGTGGCGTGGTGTTACTGTTGTTGCAAGGGGATTGTTGCTGTTGTTGATGATGATGATGTTGCTGTTGTTGCAAGGGGATTGTTGCTGTTGTTGTTGATGATGATGTTGCTGTTGCTAGTGGCGTGGTGTTGCTGTTGTTGCAAGGGGATTGTTGATCTTATTGATGATGATGATGCTGCAGCTGGTGTTGCTGTTATTGCAAGGGGATATTTGCTGTTGTTGATGATGATGATGATGATGTTGCAGCTGCTAGTGGCATCGTGTTGCTGGTGTTGCAAGGGGATATTTGCTGTTGTTGATGATGATGATGATGATGTTGCAGCTGCTAGTGGCATCGTGTTGCTGTTGTTGCAAGGGGATATTTGCTGTTGTTGTTGATGATGATGATGATGTTGCAGCTGCTAGTGGCATCGTTTTCTATGATAATGCTATCACTGTTGCTATGATGATGAGGATGATGATGATGATACTGTCATGTTATCTCAGTCGCCTTTCACACTGTTGCCATGGTTTCGTTCCATGGTTTCGTTATATCTACAAAGTTGTCGCTTGTGTTGGACGTTTTTTGTACTAACACGTTATGAGGACTGAAAGCTTTTAACTCGTAAAGTTAAAGTTACCTTCTCAGTGACACATGCGAAAAATTGTTACTTCTTCAATTAAAACTAGCTGAATATTCATCTACAATCTATGTTCAAAGCGAAAAATAACACACAAAATACATTGTATTTTTCCGTCACGACGTCTGGTCTTTTCGAGAAAATAGAGTTAGAAACAATAATAGAAATTATCTTTTAAGACATTGTCATTGACAACTAAATTAAACGAAAAAAGCATTTAAAAAATTCTGGCTATACTGGGCTCTTTTTACACTCCACTTTTCCAACAAAATTGTAATATCGTTGATCAAAATGACAACAATTAATGTAGACGTTGATTTCTTATGGACAAAAAACTCAGTTGCTGCATGGCTAGTAATCATAATTTTTTTAGACAAATAGAATAGAAAGTCAGATTTGTACTAAAATGATCTCTCGATAAATCCACAAAACGGCCGCTCCCCCCCCCCCCCCCCTCATACGGTCCCCTCATTTTTTAGTGTAGTCTAGTTTCGAATTTCCCTCTATAGAACGTTTTCCCTGACGTGACAAGGCAGCCATATTGGTGTACCAAACAATGGAAACTTTCTGCACAGTATTTGCATAAAAATAGAAATCAATTCCAGGAGGATAGAAAACGTATTGTTTTGGTGCACCAACATGGCCGCTGGGACGTCACGTGAAAACGCTCTATTGCATTTTGCTTGTTTAATTACCTTAAATTTCATTTCGTTCCAACCCACTGATGGAAAACTTCACGTGGTTTAAAAATCGTTCCAAAAATAGAAACCGTGACAAGATTTTTATAGCCTTATCCATTTGGGCGTGTAAACTCGTACGAGAAAAATTCCAAGAATGACTTGAAAAATGAATGTACTAATGACGTAACCGATATGACCCAAACACAACTGTTCGATAATCCTCCAAAGAAAAATACACGAAATTGCACACATTTTAAGCCGGTATGTGAATGTGGATGAAAACGATGCAGGCTATTGTCCTTTACTGCAATTTTGTTGCGAATACTACGGGTGTTTGTCAAGCAGATTAGCATTATAAATTGACCCCTTGGTTGAATCAAGCATTCTGTGAGAGTATCAAATACCATTTAAAGGGCTTTTACTACAACTACGACCAGATCTTGTAGCGTCTGTTTGTTGGTGAACGATACACCGTGAAGGAATGTAGAAATCGAGGCTTAAGATTCCTTAGTCACGGTCATAAACCTGATGTGTTATCATAGTTTGAGTTTTGAAAGCTATAACATCAAATTGGACAGAGCTTAGATTATTTTGCACGAAAGCAACTTAAATTCCAACAGAAAGGGTAGCCGACGTATAGTATTGATAGCACTGACTTTCTAAGGGCAATGGACGGCCATGAGAATCAAGTAAGTCTTATCCTTTTCTCTCAGTTAACTTGTTTGTTGTCGCCAAAGAAAGAATAATTATTGCAGTTCTGTTATCACAATTAATTTAAGTACCCTGAAAGTACAAATGAATCCAAGTAAAATCAGAACGAATCGAAGAGTCATTGATTAATCTATCAGCTGTCTGGCGTGCAACATTGGTGTGACCTTTTATTTCATGCTATAAATAAACTATTATCATTGACTTTCCATCGAAACATCGAGAAAGTGTTTTAACCAGTGGTTAAGTAGCTACGAAAAAAGCATTCAAAAGTCATTATTCTATTTGTAGTATAAGATGCTATGAGGAAACGGCATGTTGCCAATAAATTATCATAATTACCTGACCTGTCGAATATTTAGACTGATTGATTAAAACGCGGCGATTATAACTCAAAAATACGGGCTTTTTGCGATTTCCAACCGCTTACAGAAATTCCAAAAATTCTTCCCCTTTTTTTCAACTTAATCGAAATATTCTGATTTTTCATAAAATTTTATATCATAAACGTGTCGAGGTATGAGTTTGGAATGTTTCTATAGTGCAATTTAAACCCCTTTTCCAGTGTTTTGAAGTTGGATGTAAAATGACACCAATTAGCCTCCGGTACCACCTTGATTTTATTAGTTTTTACTAGCATCGATCAATGTAATGGGGTCAAAATTAATTATGGTTACTGTCTCTACCTAAATTTTGCCACTAGAAATTTCTAGTGCTACTGAAAGGGTCTGAGGAGTTTCTTTGTATTTTAATGGTCACATATCGATTCGAATTTGAATCTAATCACTCGATGCAGCTAGCTATAAAATTTTTATTCTGCCCTTCTAAACAAACAAATGAGTAGAGTAAACAAATAGTAATAAGAAAAAGACAAGGAAAAGCTAAACAAACTTGATATCATATGCTTTCAATATTAGTTCTAGTTCAATAATAGTTTTCATATCAAGAACCGTAGTAGGAGCTTAGATATTTAGCCATCGTTCGTCAAGGTTAAAGCGAGGGTTAGTAGTCGAAGCCGCAACAAGTCATTCTTTTGAAGATGCTCTCTTGATTTTTGTTTTATTTGACTGATTATTTTTTTGCAGACTCGCCATGTATATCTTGTACCTCTTCTTGTGACAATTCTGATTGGTTGTTGTATCGTCTTGGTAACCATGCTGTCTATGCTATGCTGGCGTCGATTTAGGAATCTGTCTCTACGGGAGCAGTTCCTTGATTACCGTGAGGTACCGGTGCTAAGCGACAAAGAAGACAAAATAGAAAACTCCATAACAAAAGAAAAACCGACCGAAAATGGCCATGTTGAGGAACTTATCGAGAAGCCCATTCCTGTTCTTCGTCAGGTGCAGAGGGGACCCATGAAACACTTTGCAAAACAGCCACCACCCCCCTGGACACCCAAACCAGAACTGAACGTGGTATCGGTACAACCTCTGGATAATGATAAAGAAGATGGCGATGCCGATCCGATGTCTAGTTCAACGGATGATGACGAGGGTGTAAGTAAAATATGTGTATCGAAACTCACCAATTCGTATTAACTGAGGATCGAGCTTGTCAGTTTTCCTTAAGTGATATGAGCAGTTCTAATAATTAAAATATGCGACAGCAAAAATGGGGTCATCAACTTTAATGACTTGGATCAGCCTAGAGGTTCTTTCAGGATTAAGTTAGATTTGAAGGAATTTTTCTACCTTCACCACTTCAGGGTAAAGACCTTATGCAAAGTACGGACGCGTATCGCTAGTTGCAGAAATCAAATGCTAAATTAATCTAAGATATTAGCCACCAATGGTGAAAGACCATAAGTCATGAGTAAACGTGCACAGTTTCAAAGTATGAAGAGGAATTTCTGCAGAATTATAGACAAGCAATTTAATTTTGCCAATGGCAAGCTATAATTTCATATGTTGGCTATATAATACATGGCCTTAACTAAATAAGGCCATAATAAATATGATATATAAATGTAATATAAGAAAGTGTAGGAAAAGACCTTTTTTCGACCTCGTTTGACATTTTTTTCTCGATCACTCGACAACAAAAAATATGGTTTTCACTATTTTAGCTCGGAAGTTTAGAACATAAAACTTGTAAATACAAATACTCACTTCGCAAACAAGTTATTATAACTATTATTACCAACCTGAGTTGTGCAGTTGTGCTAAAAACAGAAAGAATTCACTTCAAAACAAATTCAGCTTCGAAAAGTCCGCCATATTTGTTACATGGTTTTCAGACCCTTCTCTGCCAAATGATATGGCAGGCGTTCGTTGCGTTCAAGTACTTTTTTGCCACGTGCCCAGGGGTCTTTACGGCACTACCCGAGAGGCCTTTGCGGACGTATGATGCATAGATCCCGTGTAAATTCTGATTTATATTCAAGTGACAGTTGCCAATTAATGTCTAATTTATCAAAGTGATTGATTGGGGGAGGGGGGGGACTGCGAATCACGTGATCGGAAAGTAATGTCTACGTGCTCAGTTCTGGATTAGGAGTTACAAGGGTGTATAAACTAGATGCCGTGAAAATATCTTTCTTTTATTTGTCTACTCAAAATCTTAATTTAGCTTCTCAAAGCAGTATTCTCTACAGAAAGATTTTAAGATTAATAGCTCTAACTTAATCTAGGAAAATAAGGCTTCCTGTGAGTGAACAAATTCATGTTTAATAATAAGCTGTTGACCTTCAATTCCCCGTGGTATGGTAGATCGCCTTCACCTTGTTTTGAGTCAATTTTACCGTTACCGCTACCAGATTTTTACTTGAGATTATATAAGCTTAGCGCTATAAAGGTTTGCTAGAGTTTTAAGTTTGGTTTGTGTTATCGTATGGATTTTTAAAAACAAATGGAACTGCCAGCCATTTAGTGTTTTGAAATTCTTAACCGGCTTTTTTCCCCCAGAGATTTTCCTCTGCTAGATTTTAATTAGTTTCTAATAGTTTCACTATTCTATATTCTATATTTTAAAATTCAAAAAAGAAAGACGGATAAGAGGAGCCAAAGCTTGAGTAGGTATAATGTTTAGGTCACCCATCCAAGAGTTAACCCTCCTCAGACGAGCTTGACTCAGTATCTAGAA